CCATTTATAATTGAAAAATATGGCCAGTACCTAGATTTATCCGAATCTTACAAAAACTTATTTTAGATTTCCGATCTTTTCTATTGCAAAGTCTCCATATAATTTATTATAATTTAAGTAAATATCTAAAAGAATAACATATACATATTTTATATAAAACAAAGCTTTGTTAAAGAAGGCTCTTCTCATTAACGTAATCATGGTAGCAAGTCAAATATAGAGTGATATTGTAAATTAGATACACAAATATGAAAATCGGAATAACTAAATAGGACTATCTAGAACGTTGGCAAATTGGCTTTTTAAAAAAATATATTACAATTATTATTTCTAGCAATTTTCTTAATAATTATCTCTAACAATTATCTTTAAAAGTTATCGCTAATAATTATCCCCTAACAATTATGGAGTCATTGTTTAAGGAAAAAAAAAATGTAGACGTGCTAATTTGTGGTGCAGGTAAAAAAAAAAAAAGATTTCGAAATAATTGTTTAGAGAATTTTTTTCTAATCACTAAAAAATTTTTTAATTTTTTATTGGTCAAAAGGTCCCGTTGGCCTATTCTTAGCCAATGAATTGGCTGAATTTGAAGTCAATTTCCGCATCATAGAAAAGCTCGAAAAACATCCAAAATTTTCAAAGGCTCTCTTGATAGCACCAAGAACTATGGAAATTTTTGATAATAGGCAATTTAATATTCATTTATCCGTTCTTTATTTCCAATCAAAATATTCATGTTTTTAAATGTTTTTTTTTTTAGAGGTCTTTTAGATCCATTCTTAGAACATGGTGTCAAAATAAAACAATCCGTTATGTATTATAACGTTCATGATTCGAGCAATCCGATCAAGGTCGATCTTAGCAGCTTGAACAGTTCCTTTGCTTTTGGATTAATAAACCGTCAAAATAAGACCGAGGAATATTTAATTGACGCTCTACACAAGAAGAAATCAATAGGAAAGAAATATGTTCCTAATATTGAATTCGGCATGGAATTAGTGCGGTACAAAGAAGAAGAAAACAAAATCATCGCCGTCGTAAAAAATACAAACAATGTGGAAGAAGAAATTACTTGTCAATATTTAGTAGGATGTGATGGTGTACATTCCACAGTCAGAAAAGGAATAAATGGTTGGACATATGAAGGTGAGATTAATTACCGAAATAACGAACAAGGGGTAATTTCGAACTTTGACCTAAATTAAGCTTAATTCGGGCCATTATTCGAAATAACACCCAGGCCTGTAATTTCGCGACAATACGATATATGAGCAATCTTAACTAATTTACCGTTCTCCTTAGCAAACCTCGTAATGATCAAATTATCTTTTTACAGGACAGACACTGAAATCTTCGTGGGCTTTAGCCGACTTGGAAATTGATCATGAATTACATAAACACGACTGTGCTACCGCTTTTGCTTTTGCTGAAGGTACCGTTATTATTTACTGAATTTTACGATTATAATGCTCTATGTTTCATTTTCATAAAATAATTTTTTTATGAAATATACTATTATGTTACATTACTAGGGATTCTCGCAATAGAATCGTTGGATGTCGGAAAAAATACTGTCCGTATTATTTTAAAAATTTCTGAAGAGGAGAGCAAACAGGAAACTAATGACTACGTTACGGATGATTTCACAAAAAATGAAACACATATTACGTTGGAAGAATTGCAAAAATTGATTGATGAGAGAATTGCTCCGATTAAATTAGAACTAAAGAATCCTGTATGGATTTCTAATTTCAGGATTAGTGAAAGAATTGTAAATAGATATAGAATAGGGCGTGCGTTCGTTGCTGGAGGTAAATAAAGGTTTACTTTTTAATTTATTCGAATTATAATAATTATCATTAATTATCATTACTGCAATATCTGTTGATTTTTTTTTATTAAAAAGATGCTGCTCACTGTCATTCACCATTTGGTGGTCAAGGCATGAATTTGGGAATTCAAGATGCTCATAACCTAGCATTTAAATTAGCCATATCTATTAGTGGTCAGGCGGCTGACGTGGATAAGCTTATTGATAGTTACGAACAAGAACGATATCCTATTGCCAAAAAAGTTGTTTCAGGTACCAGTTTTTTTAGAAAAGTGTGGAGTGATAATAATTTTATTAGCAAGTTCCTCCGAACAAGCGTTGCTCCTTTCATGTTTCATTTATTTCCCCAAACTTCGATTAAAGTCCTTACCAAATTATTCCAAACTGATTTTAATTATTTACCTGAAACTTCCGTGATTTTTCACAAGTATAAAACTCGTTTAAGCGCTGAAAACAAATTGATCAAAGCAGGTCATTACGCATTAGATGGATTATTAAAGAAAATAACCAATAATAAAAGTCACGAACGCATAACTATGTTTGATATCTTTCGTTCAACTGCATTGAAACACACCTTAATCCTCTTTACTCTAACTAATGGTGTCACTGCTGGTTGCAATCCGCTAATTCGTACTCTATTGGAAATATACAATGATTATAAAAGCACTATCACACCAGTTATCATTTCATATCATGGCGCTGTCCAGACTGCTGATATACCATTTATGCCATTCCTAAAAGAGGGCAGAGAACAGCATATATTTGCTGAATGCAAATTAGAATTGCATGAAAAATATGGAATCACGAAAGAAGTCGGACAGCAGGCTTTCGTACTCGTTCGACCTGATTTGTACGTAGCTAGTGCAGTGTTTGGTAAACTTTTTTTAACTCATACCTGTTGTGCTGCTACTACCAGATTCATATCTCAAGTCATCTTTTAGGATGCTACCATAACTCAGTTCATATCTCAAGCCACAACCTTTCTAATTAGTTTTTGGTTACTTACTCCTTGTCCTTGTAGGTTCACACAACCCTAGTACCTACATTTGGACTTTTTTTTTCCTCAGATTTTTTACAGTCTCTCCCTTACTTCTAACCAACAAGCCAGAAAGATTAGTTTTCTCAGGCTTTAAATGCCTTTACAATTGCCTTTCTCTTAGTACATGTTTTCAAAACACATATCTTTTTTTTCTGGTTGTTGATTCAGTAGTTTGGTTAGTGTGTACCCCATTTAAGAAACTAATTACTTGGTTCTCCAGTCTTAGTCTATAATTCCAAACTTGGTCTTTCTGTGGCACTGTCAAAGGTTATACTACTTCTTAGCTCAGGACTTGCCAAACAAGTGTTTAGATATTCTAGTTTCTTGGATTTATTGCACTAAAGCTTCCATTCAAGATAGTATCACTAAGATTACAAATTAGAATCCAACTGATTAGTGATAGCAGTTAACCATATCACAGGGCCAATTTTTGAAAATGTCATCCATGAAATTCGGACTCTGAACCTGCTGTCTGGGTTGTGACAACTCCACTACTTCACTAAGTTACTACATCTTAAGTTAAAAACTATTAATTCCAG